GGCTGCAGTTGGATGATATTGACTATATAGCCCTGTATTTTATTTTTTATTTTGACTTAACTATATAGTCTATCAAACATATAGTATTGGTAGACGAAATGTGAAAAAAAGGAAATAATAATAATAAAAATAATCCATGTATCTTAATCACATCGTAGAACTGATGTTCTGTTGGTTCCCTGTGCCTTCATGCTAACGTGACGCATTGGGTTTGTTGTCATGCTAACGTTACGGTAAGACAGTTGTGTTTTACAAAGTTGGCAGGGAGCTTTACTTTAATACGTGATTTAACTTGAATTTCCCTCGGGATAAATAAAGTATCTATCTATCTAACTATTTGGTACACATTTCAAAATAATTCCTCGCATTACTTCTAAGATGAATTAGTGTAATCATTATTTGTAAGCATGGCTCGTTATATAGTTTACTCAAGTTCTGCGTTATCAAAGATGACAAAAGTAGCAGAGTTTACAACAGGCATGCAACAGGTCAGACTAACTATCTGAATCTTAAGAATGCCTGCTGACACTGTAATTGTTTTTAAGTAAGGCAAATCTTAAAAGATCAGATATTAATTTTTTTTCCTGCTTTTGAATAACAGTGTGAATATCTATCACAAAGCATCTACAAAAAGACATCATTGCAGAGGATTGTGGTTTCTTAGTCTGGGGCAACCAGCAGCCTACAGCAAGGCTACAGTTTACACTGTAAAAGCAGTATGGTGGAAAATAGAGGAAAAAGGTCATGAAGGACAAAAGAAGAATAGGGGGACAAAGGGAGGAGGAAGAGGAGGGAAAGCCTGCTAGGGCTAATTAGAGCGATAATAGGGGGCCAAAGCATGCAGAGGCAACTGGAAGGGGTCGACATGATGAGGAGAGTGGTAGATGGAGAAGAAGGAGGGGATGGCGGGGTGAGAGAGAGGGGAGTGGTGGGAACAACACCTAGGCCTTCTCCATGCATAGGGGGATGCTGGGTAATGGAGGGTGGCTCTCTCTGCAGACTCAAAATCACTAGAGCAAGCTGGCAAAATGTCCCATGGACCTGAGATCAGCCTCCGCAAGAATAAATATATTTTAGCAGGAAAACAGACAGCCGTACATCTACCACACGGCTACTCATGCAGTCATGCAGGCAGAGTGAATAATCAGCTCTGGTCCCTCCATGTCGATTCTAGTTAGAGTAGGTCTATGGTGGTGGAAACCGCTGGGAGGTCCTGTGTCGTTGGGAACTCTCGCCTCTTGTTAGCCACTACATGGCTACGGTCTTTGATCAGCTCAGCTGACTCTTAAGCTCAGCTTAGTGCGGCAGGGGTCTGGAAAATCTGGGGAGAGGGAGAGAGGTAAGAGGTGGGGAGAGACGATGGAAAGAGGGAGTAACTGATGGCACCCACTGAACCATGTATCCTCCGGTGAGGAATTGGAAGGAAGGAGGAGGAGGAAGAAGAGATGCAAAGGCAGGAAGGTGATGGGGGATAAGTAGGTTGGAGGGTAAATGGGTGCAGAGGTTGGAAAGGAAGGGTCCCCTTCCATTCCTCACCACGCAGTAACACGCTTCCTGACTACCATCACCAGAAGGCGCTGACCCTACAACTGAACTGAAGCCAGGCATGAACGCTCATCGTAGTGAGTTTAGGAAACAGTGGGATGAAAAGAATTCATAGTCATTAGATGTACCACGAACAACGTAGCATGTCATTAGACTTTGGAACATTCAGGGAAAGTGGTCCAATCAACCTCTCACAGTAGTTTTAAGATTCAAAATCACATAAAGCAATTAGGACATCAGTCAACAACAATAACCTCGCCAAACGTTTAACTCTCAAACAGTTTTTCTTCTCCACATTCTCAATGATGTTTTCTTGTGTGTCACAGCACTTGATGCTTCTGTCTGCTTTGGGGAAAAGATGCCCTGTTCAACTCCATAATGAGCAGAGCCAACAGTCTCTTCAGGGGCACTTGAGCCAGAGCAGAGGAGCTCTCCTCGGGGACACAGACATACATTATTCATTTCTGTGCTGAGTTAGCATTCATTCAGATGCCACCTTCTCATGTGGGCTCCCTGGGTGAAAAGCATTAACAGGAAAAGCTTGACGTGCTGTAATTATAGTTTATTGGAGAGCACTACAAGGTCTCTGGGAATACTGCTAACTCATTTATTAGTGATATCAATTATATAGTATCTTCCAGATGTATGACAGCATACAGATTTCCTTCATGTGACATCAAAGTGAAGCTGCTTTACTGAATAATGTTTTTCTTCAGATAGACTAATCCACAACCTGACTGATGTGTTACATAATTCTCCCCCAATACTGTTTACATGTCCACATGTGTCTCACAGTAACCCTGACAACACCGGCTAATCTGATAGGCCCCTGATGTCTTAATTGTGTGCATGGGTATGAGACTGTGCTAACTACATTTGCTGGTTTCCTGTTTGGGAAGAGTCATATCAAAAAGATAAGAGCGGAGAGAAAATTAGGGCTGTACCCACATTGGTAACGATCGTGGAGTCGAGACTGACAGCACAAGGATGTTGAAGTAAAGTCAGATGAAGTGAGCAGGAAGTGTTCCTGTAAGCTTTATTTGTGTTCACCTTCCTTTAGCAAACTGAATTACAGCTATTTTTGAACCAGTGAAGTGAAAGTGAAAGATGCATGACATTTAAGTTATTTCGGTTGCGGTTCACCCAGATTACAAAAACAAACCAAAAACAAAGTAGTACAAAGCCATGCCAATTCTACCAAAGAAATAGTGGCGATGAAAACTAATTATAGACTAATTAAGACGTCAAAAGACGTCCCAGAGGGGCGTCTAGTGACTAAAATCCTTCATCCTATTAAGAAATATAGTTAAAAACCACCAAGATCTAATTAGTGTATTGTAAAAATATGGCTGCAAACTGGATAAAAAGTGACCACAACACAAGCCATTGACAGGTGACTGTTGTAATGCACCGTTACCTGAATAAAATGACTGGATTTGAACATTGTTGGAAATGTTTGGAATAACAACAGAATAGTGTGTCAGATCAAGAGCTCTTCTATGGGCAATTTTGTAAGGCAATGATAGACAACCAATTTTGTCATTTATGTGTGAGGACTTATGCTTTTAGCCTGCAGGCAGTTAGTGTTTGACACTTGTTTTTCACTTGAACTTGTGCTGAAACCAACGGTGGTGTGTTGTTATGATTCAAAATCAGAAAGACCTCCAAAGCCTCGTAGAAGCCCCCACCCTTTCACTCCCACTGGACCTGAGCACTTGTTTTGCCTCTCTTTCATCTCTTCTCGCCTCTCGGGCTCAGCTGACCCCTGTGCTCTGACCACAACTTATCCTTATATGTCAGGCCCCTCATTAGACACCGCAAACCTGAACACACAACCGGTACGGTCACATATACATACACCCTGAATATGCAAACCTAGGAGAACAGTGCAGATGAGAAAGGCTTGGAGGAGAATGGTTGGTTCAAACTATGGGTAGACCTCCATGTATGGCTCTTTCTAGCCATATATGTGTCCCAGTTTAAGTGTGTATGTGTGTGTGTGGTGAAGGGTTTTCAAAGACATGCCGGATAAGTGAGGTCACATGCATGTTCACATGTTCTGGTGTTTTTTTTTTTTTATGTTGAAGTTCAAGTTCAAAGTTGAATTGGTAAGAGAGATGAGAAAAGGAACAAAAGGGCAAACACAGAATACAAGAACACAAATGAGAAGAACCAGAGGTGGAGAGAAATGGACGCTCATTAACAAAGAACAATTAGACCACCAACAACATCCTGCTTTTCCATATGTCTTTCTTTACATTGCTACTATTTATTCTCAGGTGAGTAATACTTTTTACATCCAAAGTCTGCTGAAAACAACCTTGAGTGTGTAGGCAAGAACATGGTTGTTGTGCAGACAGACTGTGTGTGTGTGTGTGTGTGTGTGTGTGTGTGCAGGGTGTGGGTGAGACATGTCTCTTACAGATGTGAGAAAACGGCCATGTATCTGAGACTGAGTGTGTGGACAGTGTAATTGTCAGAATGGAATTATTGAGTTAGTTAGTTAGTTAGGTAGTGAATTGAAGGTAATTGAATGAGATGAGCTGAAGCAGAGCTGATAGGCCGCGCAACTGTGGGAAAACAGGTTTCTGCACTCTCCACACACACAAAAGGCTGGAGTGTGTCTGCGTTTACAGCTTGCGAGGATGTACAGTCGGGTGAACTCTCGCTCGGCCGCTCTCTTTCTCTCTCTTCATTTGTCGCGGTTGCCATGGTGATGGGGGAGGCTTGCCTCGGCGGCCCATAATTTTCCAGAGAGCCTGTCTGGATGTGACACGTCCTTTTCAGCCGGGCATTGTTTAGATGCTGATTTACGTGTGTTTGTTGCACTTTACCACCACCTCCTCCACACCTCCAGCGGGGGAGCGGCAAACTTTTCAAGAATCAATGCATCCAACACCTGGTAAAACAGCAGGCTGAAATTCTGTTGAAGGGTTCCACTGAATGGTTTGGATACAAATTCAAAGTCCTCAGTTGGATTGGAAGGATTTTGCGATCAATCCTTGGTTATTTTTCATTAATGAACTTGTCATTACGCCTGTTTTACCTCCTGAGCTACATCTTTTTCTTTTTCTTTCCATCTCTGTTTGAAACAGTGATTATTTTCCCAACCAGCCCATCTCTCTTCCCTCCCAGTAGGCGTTCCTACAACACAGAGGAGTCCAATCAGAGGCCAGCCCTTTACCCCATCCCTCTGTGGTCAGCCTGTTAAGGACTTTTTGTGTTCAGGTTTTTTTTTCCTTTTTACTTTTTTTTCCTGCTACCCCTCATTGAGCCACTTGAGCTTGAAGCAGATGGAAAGATTGTAGTGGGGGGAAAGTAAGCAAGCAGCAGAGAGAGAGTGAGTATTGGAAGAAGCCATGCAGAGAGTGAGGCAGCCCAGAGACGATGCTTGATGAGCTGACCACCAGAAAGTCTTTCTTCCAATTTGCCTCAGAGAGACCAAGGAATCAGACAGGACAGCCCTGAGGGGAGACATCATCTCATCGTCCCAGCTGACGGGCAAAACCCAGCCCAGGACGTGTAGAGCACAGAAAAGAAAAAAAGAGTTAGAGACGAGGAGAGGAGTTCTGCAGATGAGAGTTAAAGCAGGGAGGCAGAGGGAGATGCTCAGAGGGACCAGGTAGTCAGTGACCAAAGTGAAATAAGTAACAGGATTGCTGAAGGTGTGTCCACAAAGACTGCTCAAAGAAAGGGCGACACCAGAGTCACCCGAACAAAAGCAAGTGAACCAGAGAGTGAAAGAGCGAGAGCAGGCAGAATCAGAGGAACGAGCTAGATAAGGATGGCCAACTCAGGTCTCCAGTTGTTGGGCTACTTCCTGGCATTAGGCGGATGGATCGGCATCATCTCCACCACCGCCTTGCCCCAGTGGAAGCAGTCGTCGTACGCTGGCGATGCCATCATCACAGCCGTGGGTCTGTACGAGGGGCTGTGGATGAGCTGCGCCTCGCAGAGTACAGGACAGGTGCAGTGCAAGATCTTCGACTCCATGCTCTCGCTGGACAGTGAGTACGATGTTTGAATTTGGTTCGACCAAACCTGACTGATTGACTTGTAGAGGCTTTCTCTGGCTGTCTCCCTGTGACTGGGAGCTAATCAAATCCACTCTTCAACTATTTGGTAAAACTTACTGAAGGAGTATATGCTCCTATAATTAACAAAATATACAAAAATCTTTGTTTTTGTAAATGCCATGGGGCACTGTGTAGCTGATTAAATGATTTTCTGTGGATAATTTATTAGATCATAAAAAATGCACATTTAAAATTCAAGTAAGGCACCAATAAAGGTTTCTCTAATTCTTTAAATCCCACTCCATCCTTCACACTGTACATTTCTTTCTTTCTTGGTTGCTCTCATTTAATTTTCTTTAATAACCGTGTTTTGGGCAGTTCTTTGTCATAAGTCACGGTGATAAAAGAGGGATCCAGCAAAACCCTTTGCCTTCTCAAGTTCCTCTGAGAAACATCTATGGTGTTGTATTACAAATCACAACAGTTATTGTCAGCAGTAAATAGAAGGAAAACAAGTCCCCAAGCCCTCGCTATCTGGGACGCATTAAATTCCAAAGCTGTAAATCTTAAAATGCTGCCGTTCAAACCTTTTAATGGACTTCAATTAAATACTCTGAGACATCATGAAACGTAATATGTGAGGGGTGGGAGGGGGTCAGGAATGTGGGGTTCAGACATAAATTAGCTCAGAATATGAGCCTCCTGTCATCTCCGATTTGTAAGTGGGAACTAGTGACTCATAATTAATGACACCCAGATTATAGGAGTCCATCCATCCACAGTGCTGTATGCTTAAATCACTCTATTAGAGAGTCTAATGAAAGGCTACAGGGGGTGGGCTCGGGCAGAAGTAATTTCAACAAAACAACTGAACACTTTGAGTTTGTTTTTCTCTGCGGTTTGAGTCCTACTGTGGCACACTCGCCTTGAAGCAACAAATGAGGCACTTTGCAAACATTTTGGTGTCCTGGTGAGTCATTATATCAAGATGCTTTCTGTGGCGTTGTGTGTGACGGTCCCCAAGCTGATCTCCCATCTCCTTTAGTTCATTGCAGCAATAAGAACAGTGTATTGTCCTTGCGGATGAATAGGGGCTGTTAGGAGAAGAAAAGGCCAGTGTTGAGCCAAACACCAGAGATATTCCCAGAATGCGCTCTGTCTTCCCCACACGCGCACATTGTTCCATTAACACACCCAGTGAGTATAGATTCAGACTGAAGACAAACGCCGGAGAAAAACCTTCTGATCACACATCAAGTGTTTTCGCAGGTTTATTCTGGTGTTTCCCCAGACAGATTATGAAATGGAGCAGATAAGCATCCAATCATGTATCCGGGGTCAGCCAAGTCTGAATCTTGATCAAACAGCCCTCTGGCGTTGGTTTGATCCAATTCACAACACCGGTTTGAGTTCTGAAGTGACTCCCTGGCTACATTCGCAGCAGGAGCAGCATGTGATGGTGGGTATAATTGTTCACCAGACTGTGCTGCGCTCTGCTGATGCAGCCAAGCAAGCGTAGTGGAAAGTGTTGGATCTGTGGCAGGTTGACTGAGTTTTTTCACTCAAAAAGGAGATGATGATGATGATAATGATCAGGATAATACAGGGTTGAGAAGGTTGGTTGGTATTGTCAGAAGAGTGTGGATGGTGGTGCTGAAAGGACAGCTCTTTGGAACAGAAATATCTGAGCATGATATTAGAGACACTGCCTCTGTCACACTGTATCATTATCTCATATTCACTTTAGTCAAAATGTAGACAATTACAACTACATTCATGTAAAAGTGTAGTTCTGCTTGCTGAGTGCAGCTTGAGATTCAGTAGATGCACTTGGTAAGACTACAGTCGTGTTTCTCTCAGTTTATCCACTTTGGATATTTTGGATCTGCTAAGAGCCAGATCTGCTCAATCAGTGGTCAAGCAACTGTCCAACACACACGTCAACTGCTATTATTTGTCACTTCAGGGATAAAGCCGGTGTTATATATGTTTCTTATGGTTGACAAATCCCATGAAAAGACAAAAACCAAGTCTTCCTTGTAATACTTTCTGACTTCCCTACCCATCTGTGGGACTCTCTTACTCTTACTGAAAATATTAATCTTTAAAAATCACAAATATATTACAAGTAAATATTACATTTGCTTGGGACTATTTTCAGCTGTGGAATAATACACATTTGGTGCGTAAGTGAGTATAATATAAACAACACAGTGAGTGGTCATGGTAATGGAGGAACTGTGTAACTGTGTGGCTCATTGATGTGTTTTTAATAGTCTTTGGACAACAATGGAGCTATATGGCACAGAGGAAGAAGATACATACACAATACCTGTTAGTGGTGGTTTTGGTCTTTTCATGGGATTTGTTTGTCCTATCCGTAATGGGTTGGTGCTCAGGTTCAGTCATGACTATGAATGAAAGTTATACAATTTCCATTCAAAAGAGTGAATAAGGTGGTGTGATGTGCACATGCCCACAGTGAGCTATAACAGCATTTATTCCAGTCTGCCTATTTGTTAGCTTTAAGAGTTTAGCCTTGATCAGTAAGGATAACTGGGTCACCACCATGTTTACTTAAATGTGAACATTTAATGTTAACCGGTTTAGGAAAATTCAATTTTTGCCAAATAAAGTGTAGTAATACATTTAATAACATTATATTAATGAGTTTGTGCTTTGAGTTGGAGGTGAAAGTGGACTGCAGTTGTCAAATATGAGTTAAGTTTTATAGTTGGGTAGTGAGTGGGCAAACAGATATTACGTACGACAGAGTCACAAGTGACCTCACAATGGGACCTTACAGCGCCTACACACACACCAGCGAGCACACACACTCATTGAAAGCTTGTGGCTGGCACTGCCAACCTTGGCACTGGAAAGAGAGGGCCTGGTGGGTGAGCCAGTCTATACCGCCACCCTCCCTTCCTCCCTCCCTCCTTTTAGCCTCTCCTTCACCCCAAAGGCCCCCGACAGCCCTTCTGGTTTGTCACCGACTGAAACTAGTCAGAGCGGTGTCATTTAGCACCGGCCTGAACCCCCGCATGCCCTCAGAAGAGAAGAGGAATGCCCTGAGTGGATGAAAGAAAAGAAAATCAAACCTCTCTCTGTTGAAGACTATTCAGATACCCCATCAAAAGAAGCTCTGGAGCCATAAATCAGACTTCAAAGATTGTTCCATCCTCTTCCCCCCATCATAAGTCCCTTCAGATCAGCTTTTGAAATGCTACTTTACTGCTGCACCATGAATGATGGTGTCTGTATTTCTGTCACAATGACATATGATGACTTTAGGTTCCTGCTCGGGCTGTTGCTCAACAGCTTTTTCTAAAGTGATTTTATAACACATATGGTCACATTCTATTATAGTTTAATGTGAAATTTTATTCTTTACATTGGAAAACAAATCTTAACTCAAGGTCATGGTCTTCATAGCTTTGGAGGCCATGACGTGTGAGTAACAGTTCTGGCTTATCTCTTGCCAGACTAGTAAAATCTATTTGTTCTACTCTATTCTATTAAAACTGTATTGTTAATATTGGAAACAGTAGTTTGACAAAAATCAATTAAAGTTCACTTATTAGATTTCTTCTAAACTTTGACGACTGCTGGTAAAAGCTCTGAAAAAAAGCTAGAAAATTAACAAAAAAATAAGAAAATCTCAACTCAAGGTCCACTTACTAGGTTTTTTTTTCCTTTTGAAGCTAGTGAGACACAGTTGAAAACTTAGTAAAGAAGCTAAACTATTGTCCAACTCTACTCTTTTCTGTTCTAATTGAGCAGTAAAATTCATTTTTGAACATGGAAAGGGCCGCTTGAGCAAAAAATATCTTAACTACTATTAATTAAATTATTGTTGATATTGGAAACAGGAGTTTGACAAATATAACTTAAAAGTAGAAGTCAACATTGGAAACAGTTTAGAGGGAAAAAAAGTTAACTCAAGGTCAACTTATTAGGTTGTTTTTTTTTCTGAAGATAGTGAATAGTCCATTTGTGACCCCCCAAAAATCCTAACTCATGGTCCACTTACAGGCATTAAAAACCATGAGGTGCAATTGAAAGCTGCACTGAAAATGATGCACTAACTATTGTTTTCTATTCTAGTGGAAAGTTTGGGAGTAGTTTGATAAAAAAATTAACTCAAGGTCCAACAACTTTTACTCCCAAAGCTTTGAAGTCCATGACGTGTGACTGAAAGCTCTGGAAAAAGCTAATCTCTTGTCAGACTAGTCAATTCTATTTTATCCTACCTATCCTATCCTATTTGATCTTTTTGACCATGGAAACGGTCATTTGACCAAAACATTTTAACATTTACAGGCTTTGAAGACCGTAAGCTGCAATTGAAAGCTCCAGAAAATGAACTAGATAGTGGATCTTGAGCTAACTATTGTTTTCTATACTAGATGAGCAAGAAAGCCTTTCTTGATCTTGGAGATAGTAGGGTTAGGGGTTGACTCAAGGTCCACCAACTTATTTTCATCAGATCATGAATTGCTGTTGAAAGCTCTGGAAAAAAAGGTCTTTTGATTTTTTTGTCAAACTATTATATTCTGGGTTTTTTTTCTTTTCAAGTCTATTCAGTGATGTTTGTGGCTTTGATGTAATTTGATGAATAAATACCGGCTTACACTTGAAGTCATTGTGATTTGAGGCTACTGCCTGTGACCTTGGCTGTTAAACCTGTATGAAAGGCTCTGTTCTGTTTACATTAATTACCATATTTGTCAGCTTTGTCAGATATCAGAATCAGGATATCAGACTTTGCATGTTGTCTACCGCTGCTGGGATTTCAAGGATCCCCTAGCTTGCTGTGAAACAGACACTCTCCATCAGTATTTTGACAGTATCATTAGGTGCTTTAGCATTGCTTTCACTTTAACATGTTCGTGAGCGGCTGTGTTTGAGGCAGTAACGTCTGATCGCTGTGGCGACAGCCCCGTGAAAACAATCTTGCTTTGTGACAAAGCCACACTAATCCCACTGTGTGAAACATGTAAAGCAGGCCCTCCTACAGCCCCTCTGTGTGAGAGGGAGAGTTGTGTGTTTCATCTGTGTGTATTCCACCTACAGTAATTGCGTGTGTGCAGATATTGTGAATTGTACATATGTGTGAGTGTAAATATGTGTAAATATGTTCCTCCCACTAAGTTATGTGTGTGCTGAGGCCCATGTGGGCAGCACATTTAGATTTTTGAGAAGGCAAAACCACAGTGGAATGATCTTGAGAAGATTTGGAGGATCTTTTAAGGTCCCAGAGCCAAGAAAGTCACCTCTGGAAAATAAAGCTGGAATTACCCTGCTGTAAAATAGGACAGTGGTGGACTCTCCCTTATGAGCTTGCTGTCGTAAATGCATGTGGTCTCCCATCAATCCTGCATAGCGTGTATAGCTTCATTCCCTTATAATTATCACTTTAATGTCCAGAAATGTTTGTTTTATTCCAAGTGATAGACTAAAAGACTATTTGTTTTCCAATCTCTTCTTTACTCCCTCCCTTTCCTTCATATCTTCTATTGTATCACCATTCTGTGCTCCCCTCTGTGATCTCTGCCTCCTCCTTTCTTTGTCTTTATCTAGTCCACATCCAGACATGTCGGGCCCTCATGGTAGTGTCGGTACTGCTGGGCTTTATCGGCATCATTGTCAGTGTGGTGGGCATGAAGTGCACTAAGGTGGGAGATAACAACCCAGCCACCAAAACCCGCATCGCAGTAACCGGAGGAGCACTCTTCCTGCTCGCAGGTGTGATTTTTCACTGATGTTTTTGTTTAGTTTGCAACCAAAAGTATGTACTGCAGTATCTCCCACAGTAACCAGTGCTTTTAGCAAGAGCGGTCTGGCATTTTTCTAGCTGAATGTCTCACCGGGGGTCTTTTGGGTAATTAGAGTCCCCGCTGTAAACAGGAAGTGGTCATTTTAGAGGCATTAGCCGCTGACCTCAGGCATAAACCACAAGCCCAAGGGAGGAAATTAACTAAACAAGGATTCCCCAATTCATTTGTGTGTTGTTTTAGCTTCAGTGATACAGGGAACTGCTACACTCTTGTTAATCTCTTCTCCCTCCACAGGTCTATGTACACTGGTGTCTGTGTCCTGGTATGCCACTCAGGTGTCCTATCAGTTCTTCAACCCAAATACACCGCCCAATGCTAGGTATGTAGAAGAACTGCTTGCCGAACATCTGTACCCTTTAATCATTTAATTGGATCTAACCCCAACTCAGACTGTTGTGGTTATTAAGCACGGGAGCCTTGTTAATGATAAATGTGACATCTCATTCAGCACGTGTGTATGTGCCATTTCAATTCTTACTGTCATTACTCTTTATATTGACTGAGAAAAGGGCATTTTTCTGCAGACAGTGTACTGTGTATGTGACTGTGTTGTGCAGCAGTGTGGTGTTTGTTTTAATCAGTGCTGAGAAAAGGATTTGCAGGGGTAGAGAATAACTGGCAGAAAGGGAAGACATCTGTCTCTAAAGTAACGCTGATCAGAGATTGTGTTTACAGCGCTGAAATAATTCCAAAGTTTCCTTTCTCTCTCTCTCTCTCTCTCTCTTGCTTGGTCTCTCACTCTCTTTTTATCTTGACATATTTGACAGTCTCATACTTTTAGACCAATCTGAAACTGCATATGTAACAGCTGTTTTACATTAAAAGAAATTGCCATCCCTTGTTCTAATATTGACACAATTGCCTCCAGTCTAAATCAATGCTATACACAAGTTACAGCGTTTGTAAGGCTTGGTTGACCAGGTATCGATGTTCAATGCTGCAGAATTCATCGAGAGTTACAGGGCCACTGAAAAGTAGTCTATTGCATGAGGACAGGCAGGGCAGGAGCTACAGCAACCAAAATTGTAACAAGGTTCCTGTAGTCTAGTTTAGCTAGCTTTAACTGCTAAAACTTTCCAATTGTGACTAATAAAGATAGCTAGCATTACCTGCTAACAGTTGACAATTATGCCTGATAAACATGGCTTTCTTGAGCAAATTCTTAATTATGGATAATTAAAATGTAGTTTTAACATTAGTTGTCAACAATTTGTAATTATGGCTAGCCAATGCTAGCTTTAGCTGCTAACATTTCCTAATAATAATTTATGAACATGGCTAGCTTTAGCTCCAGATAGTTCCAGTTATAGCTGATAGAGATAGAGATTAGCTCTGTATCATAGCTAATATTAAAGTTTTAGTGGTACTTAAAACAGCAGCAAATAGCAAAATAACTGCAAAAAATATCAATTTCTTATCGAGCAGTCCTGAATACTTCTCTCTAACTGATAAATAAAGTGTTTCATCAATCCCAGTGTTGGCTAGTTTGTGTTTTAGCATACAGAAAGATTCAGGGATGAAAGGGTTATCTGATTTTGGGGATGCCTTTGCTCTCCCTACTAAAAATGGGGAAATACAGAGGTAGTGGTGGCGAGATCTCAGGATCATACTCCCGCAAGTTAACTGAGATTTATGTTGAGAATCAGTGAAGTGGCTTTCAGGTAAAAATGTACGATCCTCCATTTCTTACACTACCTTTAAAAATCTTGGATATGTCTTCGGTAAAGGTCAAGCAAGTGTTGTTTTTGCCTTCTAGCGAGTTCGGGCTAATCATAATAACACCTTGAAGGCAGTGAAAACAGTAAAACCTCAAGCAACCCAGCAAACAGCCATCGCAACCCTCTGACCTTTTCCTCTCTCTTTCCTGCTCAGGTATGAGTTTGGCTCGGCCCTGTTTGTGGGCTGGGCGGCGGCCAGTCTGACGGTCCTGGGCGGCTCCTTGCTGTGCTGCTCCTGCTCTAAAGACGACATGCGAGGGCAGCAATATTACCGCCAATCACAGCCTTCCACAGCCAGGGAGTACGTGTAAAACCCACCCCCCTTTCTGCAGCCACCCAAACAGAGAGCATCGGACACGCTTGGCACCACCAACCCTTTTTCTCTCAAACTATACCTGCTAAAACAAAACAAAAAAGACTATAAAGTGTACACACATGCAATCATGTAGTAATCACACACTGCCATACATGTGCAGACACAGGTACTCATACAGTATTACACACAAACACATTAACCACCAGTAGGATGTATTTTTGTGGCTAAAAAAGCTACACACTTTAAATAATTACTTATGAGCAGACAACCTGTCAATCATTCAGCCAACTTATATAATGATAAGCTTGTTTTGTAAACTTGTGCCTAAATGTCATTATTTAACCTACTTGAAATTAGTGCAGCTGCTTAAATCTGACCTCACAAATCACAGCTACTCACACAGTCATCAATTGTCTGGGAGATAAAAAGGAAACAAATCCAAACATTTGTTTCTTGGTACAGCAAAAATACATTTAAAGTGAATCCAAAGGTTAAACATAAGAGGATGGACACGGAGGTAGAAATACAGATACTGCAACACCTGCTGAACTTATATTAGCATGTCCTATGCTTCCTGGTTGGCCTGGTTTGCCTCCATATTGCTCTGTGTATTCACAACTCCACTTGTGCAGTTATGTTGTGTAAAGGGAGAGCCCCTAACCACTGTCCAAAAACTTGGAAAAGTCACTGAACGGCTCCTCTTCTGTTGTGGGAGAAAACAGAGGTTGGCTTGTACAGTCTCTCCCAGGAACACAGGTCAGTTAGGCCGTGATCACAGAGGACACTGAACTCTTCTGCTCAGACTCCGAGCACAGTTGCAAGTTAACAAAGAACGAGGGAGGCACAAGGCATAGGAGCTCTTCAAGTTAGTTTTAAAATAGAGGTAAAGTTTAGTAGGTAACAGAGACAAATTAAGTTTTCCGAACTATAAATTAGATAAAGAAAGATAAAATAAACTGCCTAGTGGGCAATCACACTTAGATGCCTTGCTACAAACAATGGCCTGGCACACGCTCATCTCTTGTGCTGCACATTTTATTATGATTCAAATTCAAATATCGCCACTCTACTTTACCACTTCCTTCCTGTTTTTCTGCCAGTAGACGTGAGAGGTATGGAGTAGTGAGAGAGAAAAGGGTAATTCATTACCTCATTTCTTAGCAATAGCAAGAGCTCAATGTCAGCTTGAATCCATTTTGTTCCTGTTAATCAAACCAGCTGTTTTGCATAAGTTTTTTAAGCGGCTGCGCCTGTAGCAATGTGTTACTGTCTGCTCGGCCTCTAATTGTGCTTGATTAAAAGGGTCAGGAGCCCATTCAAAAAAAAAAAAAAAAGAATGTAGACAAACTTTAGATAAACTTTACTCACATGAAGTAGCCAGAGGTTTAGAATACGATTCTGGCAGGAAACTGTTACAATTTATTTATTTTTGTTGGCTTAGAAGTAGTCATCTTTAAGTATAACAAGTCTAAAACACACTAGAATCAGCCTATAAAAGATCCACTAGGTGGTAGTTTTTAATTGCCCCAGGTGGCTAAACCCTCACCCCAAAATTCCAGAACAAGATACAGGATGTGACACGATCTTAGTATATAGCTACGGCCATGAAGACAGCTTACGTGTGGTTGAACAAACCAAAATGACTGACAGTGAAGGAGCAGGTGTGTTCAGTGTCCTGTGTAATTAAGGCCTCGGGCATCCATTTTGTAACAACACTTTAAAAGAAGCTAGTTCTTATAACATGGTCCCATTTTACACCACAATCACTTGATGAGAGCTGCACATAAAGTGGAGGTGAATTGTTGGTAAAAGGTGTCTGCTTTAGTTTATACGCAGTATGAATGTTGTTTATGATCATTTCACCATTTAACTCAACGCTAAGAGGAAACTGGACAGTCTATCAACGCATATCACCATTTACTAACACACTCCTTCATCTCATCTCTTATATAACCAAACCAATGTCTAAGATCTAAGCTATTTCATATACTTCTCACACAAGTATAATCATAAGCTACAAGACACTAGTGCAGTATTGACATTTCTTCACAATGGACCATAAACTAGCATTATGCCTAAAACAGACTTATATTTCACGTCGCTGCAGTAGACTACAGGTGTTTTGCAAACCACTGACTACTCCATGAGGATGAAGTTCCCTGCCCCCACATCAATTTGCCTTCTTTTGTGTTCCTAAAAGAGCTGGTCCATCACTGTTCCAGATAATAAAGCCATTAACTTTTCTTAAAATTGCTCCCAGTCCCACCGTTTGCCGGTCACACAGCCTCCCTTCTTGGTAGAGACTTGTTTGTGGAGTACTCTGTTATTTTTAAACTGGGGGGTCGTAGATCTGTAGGAAATTCCTTGTGCCCTTCAAATAAAGGGGGATGTCAGGCGTCACTGGTCTGTCAGTAGCAGCTGTGCTTTGAATAAGGATTGCACAACAACACGTCTGATGTAACCACCTACGCTGTGTCCAAAGACAAGAAGACACACATTTAACATTTGACATTTTGAGAAAAAAACATTTGCTTTCTTGCTGGGAGTTAGAGAAGATCGATGCCACTGTCATATCTGTCCGTTAAATATAAAGCTAGCAAGGATGGTTAGCTCAGCGTAGCATACAAATTTGGGGAAACATCAACCTGGCTCAGTCTTAAGGTACAAAAAAGACATAACGTCTTAATTATTGAACTGTAGAGGTTCTGGCAGGTTCATGCTTGTTACGCAAATAAACTGGTTTCCCAAAATGTTAACTATTCCTTAAAAAACAGCTGATGATTAAGTTCAGCCAGACAAATCTGACTTCATGTCATGTGTTTCACCTTTATCAATCAGTCCATTATTACTAATATTTATTTATAACATGTAATCTCTTTGAAGATTACTGGCTAGCTGACATGTAGCATCACCATTGACTTTCCACCCTTTATGCTAACGTCTTTATAACCATCAAGCGCCCCGTTTTCTTTCTAACACTTCGCAGCCGTTGAGAGAATCTAAGAGGTCTTGATGTGTCTCTTATTTCCCCTCCTGTCCTCTAATCCTGTTCTTCTCCGACTGTTCTTCTTCTCTCCTCTAATTCAGGGCAGAGTTGTTGAGTGAAACTAGTTTCCCTGACTGATCAGCCCCTGCCTTTTTATCGAGGACTGTCCGACTGTCCAACCACTGTCTTCCCCCTTTCTTTCCTGTTACCTCTTAGACCCTCAATTTGGACCTCTTGTAGTAGAACATTCCCCTTTCCTCAGTACAACATCGGCACCTTATCAGTTTTAATGGGAACCAAGATGCATTGTCTTCTCCCATTGTTTCCCTACCTTCTGAGCCTTTTCTGTAAATATGGACTCTTAAAGGATATGTGATCAGATCTTCTATTTAAGAAATGAAGTGGTCTCCTCCATTTCAGCCTTTCCACTCTTTACTACACCTCCCACAACCCCCTCTGTGCCATTATTGGCCAAAAGTTAACAATGAGATAAAACCCTTTGTGGTTTTTGTTGCGCTGATTTATGATTTATATCCTATGACCTCTGGGTTTTTTTTGTAAATGTGTCTTTTGGGTTTATTTTGTTCGCTGTGACTGTATTTTGACTGAAACGTGTCTTTTTTTCCCTTTTGAATTGCAGACCAAATGTTAAAAGTACCCCACCAGAGAAAAGGGAGCAGTACTTGTAGTTTGGGAGAGTCTTCTGGCCTTACCATGGTTTAGATTCTGTCAACATGACAAAACCCTCTCACTGAGGAATCCAAAACAGACAGACACCATTAAAGAAAGAATTTATGAACATCAACCTTTAAGCATACTGCAGCAACATAAATTAGAGTCTCTGTTGGAGTAAAATAAATTGTTTGGGGAGGTTTTATGAAATTGATAAAGATGATATCCTTGTCTTGTCTGTTTTGTTGACTTTGGGAGAGACAGTCATTCAGGGTATGTTTTCTATAACATGTTAAAATGCCCGGGTGTATATACCACCTATTCTATTCTTGTTTTTTTTTATCTTTTTTTTTTTCTTTACTACATATATAATGTTTTACTACAGTGCCTTATAACACATGTTTGTGCACATGTATGTTTTTGACTTCGTGGATTCTTTAGAGTATCCCGTCCCGTCTGAGGGATGTGTGTCCATAGCTCCTCTGCCAGCAGTTCTGTACGCCTTTATTTGTTATTATTGTTGGATTTCTGAAAATGAATGTGAAGCTACTCTGCAGTACCACTTACGGAACAACAATGACACACGTACGATAGATCTTCAGCATAGTGCCTTATGCCACTGTTTGTAAGAAGCTGTGTGCCTGTTTCCAAGTAGCCTGGATTGAGGATATACCCAGTACATTTATTTTGTTTGGTTAAGTGCCAATATGATTTTGTGTGAATGACAGAGTCGTTGTATTATTGACTCTAAAGGATGTACTGTACCGTGTGCTGTCTCCTGTACTAAGGAACGCCAGTTTGCTGAGCGTTCAAATGCCCCTCTGATGCCTGCATTTATTTACCATGCCATTCCTTTCTCTAATATTTACCCCCTCGATGTTGTGTATCATCTCATTTAGCCCTGTCTGTTTCTTTTAGAATAAAGTAAACAGAGACATAAAAATGGTTTTGCTATGAGTCAGTGCTTTATTAGTTGTTTCCTAACTCTTTACCCTCGCCTGACTTTTCGCCCACTCGCCCCCCTCCCCGCTCGTTCCTCCTCTCAAATACTTCTTTTGCACCCTGTTGTTCAATAATTGCAGACGTGGAATTCCACTTCTGCTCCACTGGACTGTGGCACATTCTTAAAGGTGGAAAAAGTTAACTTGCTCGCCACTGCTACAGCTGACAACAAGGCTTTAATTTCCTCCTTTTGTTGAGTTTCAACTACATAAATTTGTTAAAAAATGACCTTGGAATTAGGTTAGTTTCTGTGTCATATAGATTTTATATCCCAGCTGATGAAAGTAATACAAAAGCTATTTTTATGTTGAATCCCCAAAAAGTTCTTAAAGGATAGGCTTAGATTAACTTTATTTAAAAAAATATTTTTTAATACAATATCCACACACCCATATGTACATTGAAAGAGTGTGAATTCATACTTCCTGTGCTTACTGACCATGAATTGATCCCTTCTTTAAATGATTTAAATGTTACAATGATTACAAAGATAGGGGGCAAAATGTTCCCTGTGTATGCCTTCTTAGATTTAATATTGCACTCCTATAATATTGTCTGATTCAATATTGACAGTTTCAAAAAAATGATCAAGGTCTTTTTTTATTCCATTTGTCTTCCTTGTCAAAATCTGGTGCCCACATTACCCACAATTCAGCTTAATCACCTTAACACAGTTCTGTCGAAAAGGTGCATTGCTAGTAGCAGCTAATTTAGCCTTGAGCTGCTAACCTCAAGCAGAGATGAGGAGAGGTCTCCACACCCCAAGATTTATTTTTATTTTTAAATGTAGTCAAGTTCAGCCCCAACTGGTGCAGCCTCAAGTGACATCACTTAAGGCAACATTTGTTAGGGTTGAGAACTATCAGATTTTGGACAGCTCCCTCTGGAGTCACAAAAGGCTTTCTGTAGCCCAACTCTTTTCACCTATGCAGTATTACTGCCCAACACCTGTGTAAGGGCGCCATGCCATTGTTCCGACGGCCCATTATTCCGAAACCCTAATGGTCCAAAAAATGTGCCATTGCTCCAAGGCCTGTTGCTCTGAAAACACCAACCTGGTATAGTTTACATAACATATTTAACTTACATCACATACATAACTTATGTACATAATTTAAGTGACGTAACTAATGGAGCAGTGGGCTTGTGTTGGGGTTTGGAGAACCATTGGGGTTTCGGAATAACAGGCATTGAGAATAGTTCAATCTATAGTTATAGTTCCTCTATACTGTGAGGGTTCAGCAGTCTGAATTTTGCTCATTAGAACAATATTCCCTTCTTGTGTTTCCTTGCTGAGCTGTGGTGGAGGGACATTAAAACAAATAGGGAATTTCTTACAAAATAATTAAACCAAATTTTACCCACCAGAAAAAAACCTTCTTGACCCATCTTATTCAGACTCAGAATACTAAAGCCTTGTATTGGCTCCAGCTGAAGTTGCAATGCATTTTGCAACAAGGACTGTGTCCTTTTACCCTCTTGCCTACCCCCCTGTTCAAAGACTGACACTGGATGAGGGATGACAGAATGCCATTCACTATAAAATGAACCTCGAAATAACATCCTGGCTCAAGAATCAAAACTTGCCAAACAGTGCAACGTGGGGAAGCTGAGAATGGTACAGCTTCATCAAAATGTATTCTCTTTATGTAAATGTGCTGGATGTGGTTACTTTTGAACGCCCCACTACGATAATAACTTTATCGATATGCCAGGACTTCAACAAGAAAAACAACAGGAACAGAAAATAACTGCCCAATTAGAGCGGAATATATACATTTGGCACCAACACTGACCACACCTGCAAGTTTCAGGCTTGTGAGAAACGGGAGTCTGCGAGTTTGAGTCAGTATGTGTGAACAGGTGTTTACATTGCCATCACGGTAGGAAGGGATTTCTTCATGGCCAGTGTGGAGAGCAGGATGAAATAACTTTCAATGTACATGTGGTTGTGTGCGAATTAAGACAGAGTTGAAGAAAAAATGTGAACTTTTTCTTTAAACAGAAGCATAAAATAACATTTAAAGATCTTGAATATGTGGATGATTTGAATGAGCTGCTTTTCATGCTGAGTTCACAAGTAAGACCTCTTTGATGAAACAGTACAAATATACGGTCTACAGGACAGCTTGTCCATGAGATCGTATACGGAGTTAAAATAAGACAGTTTGAGAAAAAGTGCACAGTGAGGACACCAGTGATGGGAACAGAGCATGGACGTGAAATCTCACATACACCTGACATGTACGGATGCACCTACACTACCGATGACTATACGGTCTGTTCCACAATACAGATGTGCACCATTCACACTATTTAAGACTATCATGCAAAAAAAACACAGGGACATTTGCTCCAAATTTATGTCCATTATACAGAAGCATTTAACAACAACTGTGATTCATAGCACATGCTTAAATATCCAAATTAAACATATACATCAGCATCTGTCTTATATAGCATATAGCATTTTCCTGCTCAAGCTATGTGAAAGATATTTTCTGTTTATCAGAGATAAATCTTTACTGATATGGGATATTTGGCACTGCACACATTTATAAATGAACTTTTACAGTAAGTGATGCACAAACCAGAGGTTACTTATGTAACGAACCCAATAAACCAAAGCTCGCAGCAGAAACCAAATCATTATAGTGAACACAGGAATGTGTTTTCCCGCTTTTAGCACTTCGAATGATGGATGATGTCTTGCACATGCGTTCGATTCATCGTGGTAATTTAGGAATGTGAGACTGGAAAATGTCTCCTTTATTGCTAGACTGTAAACATCATTACAACAATCTAACATGTTTTCATAGTGAAACCTGTCATTCATACTGAGAAGTAAAATGAGGGCAGACATGAGCTCTGTACTGAACAGTAGCACCGACGCAAACACCAATTCTGGTGATTGTTAATACAGAAAAGCATAGATGATGTAATATTGGGATTTGGATATAATGCTAATGGTACATATTTTGTTTAAAGATCCTATATTTTACACTTTTACTGTCTTTTATTTAAAGTTTTTATATCCATAAGAAGGTATATTTGTTGTTTTCTGACGCACAGCCAGGCCAACCACAGCAGTAAGCTTTTGTAGCCTACACAGACAGTGGGTCCAGGTACGCCATGCTGGAGGGCAGTGACGCCATGACATCATGTCGTTGTGGCTCGTTTTAAAGGCACACTTAGAATACTGGTTGGTATTTTCACAGTATTTACATTGCACCTAGACTTGCCTTATAATCAAAAAAGACATGAAAATCTCCCTTCTACAATATGGTACCTTTAAATGTAAGTCTTGTAATTTGAAGTAGACTGTGGTAACATGTCTGTTTGGGCCGGCTGACTGTGAGCTGACTTCGGTTGCATCCTGATGGCATCACTGATACGAGACACACTGCTGACTGCCAGTACAGCTGAGGTGAGAGAACAGAGCACACTTCCCAGCATCAACCAGTAGGAGAGCCCGAACTCAAACGTTATTCCTGGCATCCCCAGAGTCGCCTGTTAGAGAGAAAGATGCAGAAATAGTGAAGTAAGCACATTATTTCTTACTTTGAATATGCCTTAAAGGCATGAAAACTCTCTAGCTGTGATTGTTCCTTTCTCTAATGGTATTATTAGAAATTCAGTAACCGCAAAGAAAAAATGGATACTGCAGTTTCAAAAGAGCGTCTGCCTTGATTTCTGGGTTTTTAAAAAATTCTTTGTGAACACCATTAAACCTGTGCCACGGGCTTCTCTCCTCTCCCTCTCTGACACCTCTTCTGTGAATTCCACTGGCTGCTAGCAACATTAGTTAGCTGAGTGTCTAACTGCACTGCAGTTCTTTCAGTGTATTTTAAGTTGACTTGGCAGGTTTGGCATCAAGCTAGAGTGTCTGCCTGCCAACAAAACACACTGCGACTGACACACAGCAGATTCCAGAGCAGAGGACTGATGAACACTCATAATGCTTTTATCATTATCTCAATGCAAAGAACCCCTTCGTCAGTTTGCAATTAAGTCAATTACTTTGGCTTTCCAGCTACTTTCAGAAGCAGAACTTATTGTTATTGTTTAATGTTGTAACAAACTTTCTTTAAACATACATCACTTTATTTTTGTCCACTGAAAGCTGCAGTAGGTAAGTTTTATAAAAATATTTTTTGTCACATTTACAATATCCTGACAGTAGTACATGAGCCAAGGAAGATTGTTGAGTCTCATTCCCAGGGCATCAAATACAGACGCTTTTGGGTGCATCTGACTCAGCAGTCGACTCTCTTCAAGCTGCCAACCAAAAGTGGCTTTCTATCCTTTTCAGCTCTGATTGATTGCTTTTGTTCAGGCCCAGTGGATTTTTGTAAATACCATTAAGAGCACTAGGAGGAGCCAGAGGAACCTAATTGTTTCACGGATTACCTGTCAAAAAGTTCAGCAAATTTTTATAAAACTACTGCAGTTTTAAGGAGACTTGAAATATGAGTAATTCAAGATCCTTATCAAAAGAATGTAATAAATGGCTACAGTACTATGGATAATGCTGGAAACTGAATTTCCCCTTGGGGATGAATAAAGTAGCTATTTAATCTAAGAAAGTTGTTTTTGGTAAAGTAGTATAAAACAAAAACAAAAAAAGTTTCTGTTTACACAATATTAGCAGAACAATTCTGAATGGGAGACAATTTAGATTTGTTTACATTAATTAGTTTGGTATTGGCTTCAGGTTTTTAAGGGATTCAGAAAACTCATATAAAATGTTTGTGTTGAGTGTTAACACCTACTTCCAGTCTGTATGTGGTGTAAGTGTCCACTCCGTACCACAGCAGGCCAGCTGCACCACACACTCCTGAGAGACACACTCACATTTTAAACCAATACACAAATATGAGTCAGACGTTACAACCGCTAACAACAAAGTAAATTGTGTGGAAATGTGTATGAACCAGAGAATGATATGAATCTGAAGTAGTGACCTACTGTGCTGAGACCACAAACCAAACAAACTGCTTCTGGCTGGATTTGATTAAAGCATGTTTTAGAGTAAGGAGCTGCAGCACAGACCTCCACACAGACAGAGGGCGCCAGAGACCTGCAGCAGCCTGCCCTGAGCCAGTACACTGGGGATCAGTGTAGTGCACCTCAGACCAGGTATCATGATCAGGATGGAGAGCACAGACAGAACACACATCCCCACCAACGCTACTCGCATAGCCAACAAATCAGCTGTGGGGAGCAGAAAAACACACCAGACTGAAAGTTTGGCCTCCGGTGGCGAGTGAGTACATTACAGTACATTCTCTGCTTGGGATGATCAATATACAGAACCCACAGATCATGACATTTCAAAATACAGTCAAAACAGTTAGGGATCAGTCAGTATTTCATTATGTTTTTATGGTACTTTCATTATGAAGTATTTTCTTTCACTTGTAAAAGTACCTTTACTTTAATTAACATTAAAATAGAAAAAAAAAGTATATCTGAACACTAGGTTTTAAAATGGCGGGTTGTATTCATTCATTTTTCTGAAATATTTGACAAACGCTTTTATAGATAAACAGAACACAGTACACTCATTCAGTTCTTTTACTCTTTTAGGTTTTTGGGAAAATAATGAACAGGCTGAAAACATTTAGAAGAAATGAACACCCATTTGATAATTTACCTTAGATCTTTTACAGTACAGATATGTCATAGAATAAAATCATTGAATTTTTGGGGAAAAGTTATTTTTTTTAAATAAAAGTTGCTATATTTACAAGTATGAATAGGCTACATTTATGATACTTGTAAAAAGAACATTAGCTGTACTGGAAAGTTGTTTGTTTCAGTTGAGTACTCGCTCAACCCTAATTACAAGTTACCTTACAGATAAAGATTTTATATAGATTGAATGTGCTTAATTTTTTATACTGTAAACCAACTTGCAGAATAAGAAGTAGCTAAAATGTACAGTAGCTCCACCTGAACCACCTCCAACATTAAAATGCTGCTTACACATGCATCAGCAATAAACCCAAACATTAATAATATTGCAATACTGGCAGGGGCCATTGTGCATAATGAGTATTATTCTTCTGAGCATTAAAATACGGGAGTAGGTTCCAGTCCTGTATAGGTTCCAGTCCTGTATTTTGAACTCTGCTGGGGCTGTACTTTGAATCACAGATTGTACCTTTGAATCAAGTGTCAGGGGCACCCATTATTAGACACCTCTACTGTTCTATTTGCAGGAGGGGAAGATAACATTGTTGCAGTGGATGTGCTGTTGTACCTGGCAGATTCTCCATGTAAGACACTGACACGTCACATGTCCTCAGACCCACCAGGCTGTCATGAACACACTCTCCCCACAGGCCTCGACAACGGAAACTCAGACCTACTGAGGTCAGCTGATCTTTAGCTCCTTGCTGGACCAGGAGACACATTCAAACATGTGAAAGGCCTGGGAATTATGATTCAAGTTAAATTGTTAGTTGTAAGATAAGGAGTTTGAAATTGAAAAACTTAAATAACTTGAATACACACTTTATGACTGGTGGTCTGCCCTGTGGTAACCACACGCTAAAACACAGAGTTTACCCAGCAGTTTATCACTCCAGTCAGATAGACTACACAGTAGTGCAGCCTAGTGGCTACTCTACACTCTGTCTACATACAGGGATTAGCAGTGATTACAGATGAGAGGTAGAGTGTGAGTGTTCCTACCCTCCAACAGTCCTTTCCAGCAGCAGCGATTAGCAGCAGCAGGCTTGTCAGTGCTATCAGCAGCCCCAGGACCTCAGTCTGTCCTCTGCTCATCCTGTCCTCTATAGTCAGTTGGTGGAAAAATGAACAACTGCAATCGTGAAAAACATCAGGAGTGACTTTGTAAATGCTGAACAAGTGCAGCTGATTTCCAGAAAGGACTGTGTTTCAGTGATGAAGAGAAGCAGCCGTATTCTCAGATGGACTTGCAAAGCATTTCTGCAATAATGAAATTTATATCGAGTTAATGAACCGTACACTCATGACATACAGTCAGCACAAGTGGTGGAAAAAGTACTCAGATCCTTTGTTGTAGCTGGTCGGGTCGAAGCTAGTTTGAAATCGTAGTTTACCACATTTGCATCTTGTGGAGAGTTAGATGAAAAGATTGATTCCACTGTCGTATCTGTCCATTAAAAAATAAGCTATTCAGCCAGTTAGCTTAACTTAGCTTACAGACTGAGGGCTGTGTCCAAAGGTTACAAAGTGAACCTATTAACACCTCTAAGGTGTCACTTTTTAATAGTGATATGTTATATCTTGCTTGTTTCATCGATACAAGAACTGAAGTGTAAAAATTAGAATTTGCTCCTACACAGGACGTTAATGTGCCATTTCTTGGCTTGGACCACTGGCAACCAGCAGGGTTCTTCAGTGTTAATTAGAGGTGCTAGTAGGTGGATTTTACTATAGACAGAGTAATGGTTGCTGTTTCCCCCTGCTTCCAGTCTTTGTGCTAAGCTAAGCTAACCCACTGTTAGCGGTAAGGTTAGAGTAAGGGTTAGGTTTACTGCTTTAGGGTTAGCTCCCAAAATGGATTGATAGCACTTTAATTACTTCATGCACTGTTATGTCATTAGGTCTACAATGCATTCTTTTTTATAAGCTTATAAGCTTGTGTTTTTGAATGTAAAATTGTAATATAAATTTCACTAACTGTAGCTGTCAGATATATGTAGAGCAATAACTGTACAATGTAAGAAGATTAAAGTAGCATACAATGGAAATAATCAAGTACAAGTACGTTAAGTAGTTAAGCACAGTTGCTTCATACAAAAATCAACTAAATTAATATGTATGTTTTACACTAAAAATGTCATTATGATTACGACAGTTTCAGAAATGATCATTTTATCACAGTAACCTGCCTCGATGAGGATGGATGCAGATTTGTGGACAAAAGAAGAAACAGAAGCAAAAGAGGAATTTACAGCTCAAGAGATATTATACAACTTAAATTTAGTGTTAGAGTCCTTAAAACAACTGCCATATAACTTTAAGATGAACTGTACTTCTAAAAAAAACTGCTTCAAACATTTTAGGGCAATGTTTTCAAAGAAGTTACATTATCTTTTAATGAGAACAATTTCTCCAAATGCTAAAATTATATCCCTTTGTGGTGAAACAGCCTTTCTTTATATATCTTTTTTTTTTTTTTTAAATCATGGTAGTAATCTTGCAGCTGTCACAAGGGTAATGAACAGTGCTGTGGAACTATGGAAAAAAAAACACTTACCTCTTAGAAAATGTTTTATTTCAGGACTGGCACAAAGTGGCTCTGCTCATTTTCCAAAAAAGAGGAACATGGGAGAAATTTGGTGCCAGCGTCGGAGTGTGCACACGAGTGTGTCTCTTTGCCCTTGCTCATTCCCAAATTAAGTGGTGTAGGCCTGTGTTAGCGGGGTCTGGCAAAGGGCTGAAATTAAGAGTCTAAACACATTAACCACACATGACCTTCATAACTGCACTATGGCTTTCCATTTTGCTCTCCTCTCTGTTTGTCCTATGAGAACATTCAACCTCTGTCTCAACTTTGACTTAAAAGAAAATCTTCCTCCCCTCAAACAGAAGAAAATCTGCCGCATTTCAAGACATTTTCTGCCATTTAAGGCTGCTCAGATGTGTCAAGGAGATATTTGTGTTGAGATGACAAGATAAAAAGGAAAGCATTTCAATGCATCGCAGAGGAAGGAGGCAGCGTGAGAGACAGACGGAGGGACAGACACATGGAGAGAGCCGAGCCATATTGAGACGTTCAGATGGATTATTGTGGAATGAAAATGCCAGCGGGCTCAGTGCCAGATGCCTGTGAGCTGCTGCTGACAGGCTGAAGAGGGCAGTGTTTGTCTTCCTACTGCACCACACCTCACTGGGAAGGTTTGACTTGTTAAGAAAAAGAACAAAAAAAAAGCTCTTATCCATAATTACTTTCAGTGATGTATACTGAATCCAGAAAGCTCTCTGCATATTAATATGGAGCATTAATAGGTTTCACAATAATTAAAAGTGAAAAAAAAAATCATTTAGAATTTACAAAGATTAGTTCAGGTCTTATAAATAAATGTGCCTTAATAAAAATAGAGGGATTTGGTTGCAAGTGTCTCTGTCGGGCCAGTCATTAGTAATGGAGTTGAACATTGAGAGTCACAGTGACGAGTCATCTGTGGGTCTGACTTAGCCTACCTGTGGGGACGCATTTAGGTTTAAGGACAGGTAATTGGGGACGCACTTGGCAAAAGTCACGTCCCCAATTAGGAAGAAGCTTATTTTTGGGTCAGAGGTTAGGCTTAGGTTAAGGTTAGGGTTAGGCAAGTAGTGGCTGGGTTAGGGTTAGGTAAAGGTTAGGGTTAGGGTAGCCTCCAGGAAATTAATGTAAGTCTATAATGTTCCGAAAAGTGACATAAGTAAACGTGTGTGTGAGATCAAACGTATGTGTGTGCATGTGTTATATTGTGTCTTTTAGCAGGCTTTTTCATGGTATTGTGTGTCTGTGTGTGTGAATGGGTACATCGGTGGGCTTGGGGCGATCGCCCCACCTGGTGCCCCAATGTTAAAAAAATGCCGCAAAAGTGCCGTCTTGGATCCCCCTATGGTAAATAAAACACAATAAAGTGCCCTCTAGGTTGGTAACCCTAACCATGACTAAGCTGTTTCAACATAAATGCATCACGACTTTCTGGTCCGCCACTGATTGGGTGCATGTCCCTGCTTGCGTGCATGATTTGGTGTTAGCTGTTTCTATTGTGTTTCTGTGTGTGCCCTGCCTTTTATTTCCAGGTCTCGCTCCATCCCAATCTTCTCTCTGCATCACTCCACTCCATCTCCTAACAATATGGTTTAAAGCCTCATAATCACGTATTGATTACTCATCATCATTACCACCAGTTAGGGTTGGATATGGAGCCTCATCTGGATGGGAGGCTGAGGTAGAGCTGCACGGGACCACCGCACTCTGCCTTTGATTTGAACAAGGTCAGAGGAATCGATCCCCTTTGATCGGAGACTTGCTAAGAGAAACAACAATTTCCACAGGCGCAGCCAGCAGAGCTCACAGTCTGTAGCTTCTGCTCAGTCCACATGTGTGTACACAGTGAGTGTCTGCTGGTGAAAGACCACACATTAGGTTGTTTCTTTTCATGAAGCCTTCTGGTTTTATTGTACATTTTTCCATTTCAGAGTGCAGTTTGCAGTGGCCACCTGCTGAGTATTTTCAACTTCAAATTCCCATGAATCCTTTCCCTGTCACTTTCAAGTTGGACTATGTAGCTTTTTTATATATATTTTTGGGGGGGGCTTTTTGCCTTTATTGGATAGTGACAGCTGAAGATAGACAGAGAAGGATTCTCTCTTACCCTTTTCCTTCTCTTACACACGATTCTCACGAATCAAAATGTAACAGTAAAACACACCCTTGCTCATTTCAGTACACTCAGGGGTTATTCTGCTACAGCCTTTCTTGTTCTGCTCATAGTAAATGGTGGCTAATGTTAAGCACACTTTAGCTAGATATAGCTGTGTAACTGACATTACAGCTTTATGACTCTTCTTTGTGTGTACTGCTACACTACGTTTATTTACCATTATACTGTCACTGCTACCACTCTACCACTGCCCCCTGAGAGCCTGGCCCTGCTTGTTGGACTTGAGGGTGATTCCCTTGCCAGTCTTTTTCCATAGGTTTGACTCAACAGGACAATAATCTGTATCAGCCATGTGCCACAACATCATCCTGTGAAGCCGGTGGTGATTGTAGCTGTCTGGCAGGTCAGCCCGCTCTTCTCTTAAAGTAGACAGTTCCGATTTTATTTGTGGGTAAAGAGTTTTTTGGTTAATTGTTATACATACAATACAAATACAAAACAAGTCGAACACCCTTTTGTGTTGCTCTTGGTGTGGCACAGCTCAACGTCTGTTGCTCTCCTGGCATCCTCAGGTGTGTTGCATCAGTGACTAGAATCGAGTCAGTACTGACCCTATAATCTCTTCCTCCATGAACATCTCCACCTTGCAAGGACATCACAAACTGACGACATGTGACGCACATCGAAACACCCACGCCCACTGTTTCTATGTACTAGCAGTGTCTTGACGTGCGACCGATGTGTCAAGTCAAATTTAACCCTGTAAACACAATTAAGGACACACACTAGACTGCATATTCAAAACAAAAAAAAGATTGTTAAGTAAAGATTATAAACTGTATGTGAAAAATGTGGATCCAGTAGGACAAAGAGCAACTTCAGGTGTCAAGTGGGATCTGAGCCACACAACCTTCTCTGTGGATTTTCAAAATGTCACAGTACGCCACTGTCACATTTGGCAGCATTGACATGTGTCATCTCTCCAGAAGTGCAGCAATTTCACTCCCCAGATCCCCTCAGCTACTGTACCTGGACTACTTCTGTCTGTAGTACATCCAGTGTGTGTCAGAGGATGCAGTGCCCCATGATGTGATCAGTGTGTCTTTATTATAACAACATGTGTTGTTTGCCAGTTTGAGTGAGAATTGCCACTCATGGCTTGGTTTAAAGGTCCTAATGTGACTTTTTATAGGACTGAAGCATCATTCACATTCTTATTCTGATGGCATAGGATTTGATTTGTAGAAACATGAAACAATCCCAGGGAAAATTGGTAGTCTAATGTATATGTTCCACTGTAATTCTCACTGTCTCTGCCGTGTCTTTACCACTTTGCATCACCACAGGCAGAAGGGGACTTTAATGATGTCTACAGACAATACTACAGAAACTGAAATCCATCTGACAAAGCTA